GAAAGAAAGAAAGAAAGAAAGAAAGAAAGAAAGAAAGAAAGAAAGAAAGAAAGAAAGAAAGAGTTAAACCCAATCAACTAGTAGGAGCAGTATCTTACTAGCAACAGAGGTTTAGCAGACAGTGGAATGGTTAAAACATCCTTACATCTGGGAGAGGTGGCACATTCCTTTACCCTCAGCTCTGGGTAGGCAGATCTCTGTGAGTTTGAAACCAGCCAGGGCTACACACATCTTGAGAAAAGAAAAAGAAAACTAAACAAACAAACAAAAAAATAGGGCATGCCAATATGTTAAGTCAGTTAAGTGCTTGTTAAATTGGTAAACTTGTTCAAGCTTAGAGGCTGGATTGTAGCAATGTAAGAAGGAAGTGGAAAAGGATCTCATGTAGGTGCCAAGTTCTTAACAGTGCCTGATATGATCAGCTCTTTTTTCTTTTTCTTCTTTACTTTTTTGGTGGTTTTGTTTCAAGACAGGTTTTCTCTGTATAACAGCCCTGGCTGTATACAGAGTCCTGGAACTGTATAACAGTCTGTATAACAGTCCTGGAACCTGCTTTGTAGACCAGGCTTGAACACACAAAGAGATCTGCCTGCCTCTGCCTCTGCCTCCTGAATGCTGGGATTAAAGGTGTGTACTACTACTGCCTAGCTTCAGCATCGTATTTGTTATTTTATTTATATGAGACAGTTTATTAGTCTGGGAACTATAGTCCTAGAGCTCACTATGTAAACCAGGCAGGCCTTGAACTCACAGAGATCTGCCTGTCTCTGCCTCCCAAGTACTGGCATTAAAGGCATGTTCTCCCAAGCCTGGCTTGTTTTTTAAAAAATTTTGTTTGTTTATTGGTTTTTCAAGACAGGGTTTCTCTGTGTAGCTTTGGCTGTCCTGGAACTCACTCTGTAGACCAGGCTGGCCTCAAACTCACAGAGATCCACCTGCCTCTGCCTCCCAAGTACTGGAATTTAAGTTGTGTACTACCACTATCCAACATATTTTATTATTTATTTATTCGTGTACAACATACATAGGTGTAGGTGTGTGTGTGTGTGTGTGTGTGTGTGTGTGTGTGTGTGTGTTTTCACCCTGTGGAAACCAGAAGAGGGATACCTCTGGAGTGGGAGTTATAGGCAATCTGAGCCATATTATGGGGATGTTAGGAACTGAACCCTAGTCGTCTAGAACAGCAATAGGTGATTTTAACCATTAAGCCACCTCCCTAGCTTCTATAATAAGCATTTAATAAGATTATGCCATAGGTGTTACTCTTCTCCCCTTTTGTGGGGTGTGTGTGTGTAGTTGGGGGTCAAACTCAGGATCTTGTGCATACTAGGCAAGTGTTCAACACTTGCTGTACCTCCAGGTTCATCACAGTTGTGTCATCACTCCCTAAAATGTCTGGAAGCCTAGGAAAGAACACAGATTGTTTCCTTCCCTCCAAACCCCACCACTTTTCTGAGCTGAAGAAGCTCTTCTAAAAAGAGCACAATGTGGTTTCCAAGAGTTGAATGTAAGGGGGAAAATGTGATAAAGTAGGAGAGCATAAGGGAGTTTTTATGGAGTTAAAATGTTCTGCATCTTAATTTTGGGCATGGCTAGGCTATTCAAATATCTGCGTGTGTTGAAATTCATAGAACTGTGTACCAGAACCAGCCATATTTACTACCTCTGAATTAAAAATATAACAGTCAAAGTAAAGCCTTAAAAAATAAAGAGTATTCTAATGTCAGATCCTAAGCTGGCCTTGGGGTTTCTCTCTGAGTACTGTGTACCCAGGCCTGGTTGCTTACATCTGGCCCATCATTACTCACTGGCTTTTTTCCTCCTCATGTTAGATTGGAGCTGGAGGAAGCATCACTGGGCTGAAGTTTAACCATCACAATACCAACCAGTTTTTTACCTCCTCAATGGAGGGAACAACCAAACTTCAGGATATTAAAGGCAAAGTTCTCCGAGTTTATACCAGCGCAATGTCTTGCAAGTGAGTAGTTTAACTAGTTAGGAAATGCCTTTTAAGCTGTAGATGCAGTTTTGCTGAGAACATACCCAGTCCCATTTCTTTTACTCAGGCCTCGCACAGAGAAGATGGAGGTATTGGCCACTTTGCACCATTCCTTTTCTTCCTTATTCTCTGGCTGTTCTGACTTTGGTCCAAGTGGGTCATTGCCCTAGAAAGGTGTTCTGGATCCTCAGCTCTTGTCTTTGAGGGAAGGGCTTAATCACTTCTGTAAGTCATGTCTATATTAAACTAGACCTATACTTTCACAGGATAAGTAAATTTGGTATTTGCTTAGAAAGGCATTTACAGAGTAGAGCAGGAATTAACTGAATTTTCGCCATGTGTGGTGGTACACACCTTTAATGTCAACACTTGAGAGGCAGAGGCTGGTGGATTGCTATGAGTTCAAGGCCAGCCTGTTCTACATAGTACTAGGCCAGCCAGGACTATATAGTGAGGGCCTGTCTTAAGAAAAAGGAAGAAGGGAGGGAAATGCAATTTTATTGCCCTCCATTTCCTATGTAATGGCCTTACTGTTTTCTTGGTGGAAATGTTAATAGGTAGAAGAATCTTCTCTTAAGAGCAAGTGGCTGGAGAAATTACTTTGATTTCTAGCCAGAGACACAATTCTGCTAAGGTAAGGAATGATGAATGTGAGGCTATGCGGTGGGTCTAACCAGCTAGGGTGTTATTCTGAGCTGCCCCACAAGGCTGAGAGCACACTCCAGGAGAGGGGAATGGATGGGCTTGGCATTCTCCTGGCCATGAACCAGGATCCTTGAAATACCCTCTTCTGGATCTCTTTTTCTCCCATAGTTTTCAAGAGCAAAGGTTTCTAGTTGTATTTGATTTTTCCTTAAATGATCAGAGGGGCAGATGTTCACTTCTTGCAAGCTGTGAGGAGCAGAGCTGCACAGTTTCTATTTGGTTTGTCGTCTCCTTTGCCCCAAGAGTAAAGCATGATGCACATCAGAACAGTAAATAAGGCCTCTCCAGAACCTGGGCTGTGGGAAGCAAGTCAGCCTTTGGGTTTGCTTTGCTGCTCCGAGCTTTCAGGGACCACCTGAGGATTCTAGGCCCAGCAAAAACTAGACAAATTTCTGAGTTCTGTCAACCTCACCTCTCTTTCTGCATGGTAAACGAGGCCAAGTGCTCTTCACTGGAAATTTACAGCAAGGCAGTTACTCATTGATTCAACAAATATGTATTGAATGCCTGTTAGATGCTGGAGCTGCAACAGTAACTAACAGACCTATCTCAGTCTTGAAGAGTCTTACAGCACTCTCTCTCCCTTTAGGGTCTGGTATTGCAGCCTTGATGTTTCTGCCAAGAGCAAAGTGTTGGTTACAGGAGACAATCTGGGACATGTGGTCGTGATGAACACAAATGGCAAGGAGGTAGGTACTCTGTGGCCCACTCCCACCCCCTTACCACTGTTTGATTCTATGTCTCCACCTAAACCAAACCTTTCTCGGCAGCTCTGGAACCTCAGAATGCACAAAAAGAAAGTAGCCCACGTGGCCCTGAATCCCTGCTGTGATTGGCTTCTGGCCACTGCCTCCATAGATCAAACAGTGAAAATTTGGGACCTGCGCCAAATTAAAGGGAAAGACAGCTTCCTCTACTCACTGCCTCACAGGCATCCTGTCAATGCAGGTGTGACATCCCACACCCCATCCTTCCTACTGACCCTGCCTTTCTCACCACCAGCCACCAGGTCAATCCTTTTCCCCACCCTTACCACATCTACTATGTTGATGGCTAGGCCCGCTTTCTGGTTCCGGCTGCTCCTTTGTCTGTGTAATATCTATAATATTTTTGTTCATAGTCCAGATTGACATCTCCTACCTTTACCTAGAAGGGAAGGTCAGGATGCCAGGGGCTGAGGGTTCCTCCAGCTTAAGGACTTTTCCCTTTGTCAGCCTATTTTAGCCCAGATGGAGCTCGGCTCCTGACCACTGACCAGAACAATGAGATTCGGGTTTACTCTGCCTCCCAGTGGGATCTCCCCCTGAGCCTGATCTCCCACCCTCACCGTCATTTTCAGCACCTCACACCCATCAAGGTGAGTGGCTACAGGAAGGAGTCTGTGATTACAAAAATGGGCCAGATCTTTCCAAGCTGGTGGAGGGTCACATATGCAGCCTACAGTCACAAATGCTATCTTTCAGTGGGGGACAAAAAAGGTCTCATAATCCTTTGGCTTTATCTGTTCCTTTTATCCCATTTCTGTTGTGTCTCTCTTTTGAGATAGGGTCCTACTATGTAGTTCTGGCTAGCCTAGAACTTGCTAGGTAGACCAAGTTAGTCTTGACCTAACAGAGATCATCTGCCTCTGCCTCTCAAGCGCTTGTTATTGAAGGCATGAGCTACCATCTATACTAAACAACCACTAAGTTTTCTTAGTACATCTTATAAGCTAATTCTTTAAGCTTTCAGCCCCACATTGATCTTACTGTGCACATTTTCTATGACCTTGGTCCTTTGTTCTACCCTCCCTGTTTCAGCTATGTGCAGTTGACCTATAAACTAAACTAACCTTCTTGGGTTGTCTTGTAGGTTTAAGTGGTTCCTAATAGAAGTAAGACCCTTAGTTTCTCAATTTAGACCTCTGTTTCATCTGTAAGAGGAAATAATATCTAACTGGGAGGGTTTTGTGAGTATGAGTCAGGATACATAAAATACTTGACACCATGCCTAGCCCTTGGTAAGTACTTAATAACAACTTAGTATCCCACATACTTCAAATTAAACCTAATAATAAGGCCAGCCATGACTACATATTGAAATACTGTCCCATGCACACAAAAGGACATGAACAAGGCTGCCTGGCAGTGGTGATGTACATCTTCAATCTCAGCACTCAGGAAACACAGGCAGGCAGATCTCTTGAGTTTGAAGCCAGCCTGGTCTTAAGAGGAAGTTCCAGGACAGTCAGGACTACACAGAGAAACCCTGTCTTGAAAAACAAAACAACAAAAACAATAAAGAAGTCTGAACAAGGCCGATATGAAAAAATTTATTAAGAACCAGAGCTGTTCAGTCCCCAGAATTGCAAAAAAAACAACAAAACAAAAATGCCCCCCTTGGTATCACCTTAAGAAAAACCAAGAGAGAAGCTAGAGAGATGGTTCAGTGGTTAAGAGCATTGGCTGACCTTCCAGAGGGACCTGGGTTCCATTTCTTGAACCTACCTGGTAACACAACTGTCTACAACTCCACTGCAGGTGATCCAGTGCCCTGTTCTGGCTTCTTCAGGTATCAGGTACACTTATGTACATGAAAGCAAAACACACACACACACATAAAATAAAAATAAATAAATCTTCCCCAGGTGGTGGTGATGTACACCTTTAATGCCAGTAGTTTGAGGCCATCTAGATCTAGCAAGTTCCAGAACATCCAGGAGTATATAGAGTGAGACACTATCCAAAAGTAAAAGTAAATAAATATATAAATAAATAAATCTTAGCAGAAGGAGGAGACTATCAGGAAAGCAAACATTTGTAATGGAGGGCAACTCATTTTCAAGTCCCCTCCTAGATATTGGGAGGTAACTTAATTTTTTTTTTTTTCTTTTGAGACAGGGTCTTATTATGTAGTCCTGGCTAGCCTGAATTCTCTATATAAACCAGGCTCACCTTGAAGTCAACAGAGCCTTTGCCCCAAGAGTAGGGAGTTGTGGTTGTTTTTGTTTTTCCAATAAATTCTGTTTGTTTGCTCTTCTTAAAAAATATATAACAATTGCATGTCAATATACATGAAACTGAAAAACTTCCTTGTAATTTTCTGTGAATTCTTAAAATAAAAACCTTTAAAAGTTGGGTGTGGTGGCACAGGCCTTTAATCCCTGAGGCAGGAAGATGCCTCACAGTTCAAGGACAGACTAGTCTACAAAGTGAGTTCCAGGACAGCCAGGGCTACACAAAGAAATCTTTTAAAAATTAAAAACACCTTTATTTATTAGTTTTGTGTGTATGCCCGTATACTGATGTCACAGTGGTCAGAATTGGTTTTCCCCTCCCACCACATGGTCCCTGGGGATCAAACTCAGATTATCAGGCTTGGTTGGTATCAGATGCCTTTATCTGCTGAGTCATTTAGCCAGCCCTCATGTTTGTCTTATATGCATGCAGTACTGGGCTCTTCCTGGCCTATTAGTGGTTAAAATCTTTGAGAAAAAAAATACATATACAGACACATATGTATATATAAAAAATTATATATATAATATACCCACACATAAACATTGTGTGTATAATCCAGAAGAGTGCACTGGGTTACCTGGAAGTGGAGTTATAGACAGCTGTGAGCTACCATGTAATAGGAATTGAACCCAAGTTCCTCCATAAGAACAGCACATGCTCTTAACCATGAGCCAGCTCTCTAGCTTTTCTTAAGGTGATACCAACCTGAGTGTTTTGTCTTTTGCAGTTCTGGGGACTGCACCCTTGTGCATGGTAGGTAAGAGCAATAGCACTGAACACCTCCGGCTCTTAACAAATTTTTTCATGTCAGTCTTGTTCAGACTTGTATTTGCCTGTTTGTTTTTTCAAGGTAGAGTTTCTCTGGATAGGCCTGGCTGTCCAGGATCTCCCTCTGTAGACCAGGTTGGCCTGTCTGTGATATACTGGGCTCAAACCCACAGCCTTGCGTATGCGATGTAAGTGCTCTGTCACAGCATATCACAGACAGCCCTAAAGAATACCTTTATGTGTACAGGCTAGAAGTGAGGTGTCTTCCTCAATTGTTTTCCACCTTATTTTTGAGACATGGTTTCTCACGGAACCCGAAAATCACTGATTTGGCTGGACTAGATAGCTGGCAAGTTCTAGGTATCCTGTCTCCACTTCCCAACTGTGATTGCAGGTGCATCATGATGAGATTTTTATATGGGTGCTGGGGATCCAAACTCTGGCCCACTTGTGTGGCAAGCCCATTACCAACTGAGCCGTCTCCCCTGGCTTTGAGAATGCTGACGTCTCTCTGACCAGCCTCTCCATTTCCTAGGCGACCTGGCATCCACGGCACAACCTCATTGTTGTGGGCCGATACCCAGATCCTCATCTCAAAAGTTGTGTTCCCTATGAACTAAGGACAGTAGATATGTTTGACGGAAGCTCGGGGAAGATGATGTGTCAGCTCTATGATCCAGGATATTCCGGTATCACTTCGGTGAGACTTGGACCCTCACTGATGGGAGGAAGCAGGGAGTCACACTACCTTTCTGATCAGAATTAGTCCCCATGTGTCCTTTTGCCTCTGTACTGCCTTTAACCCAGCTTCTCACTGATACTGTTACCTTTGCAGCTCAATGAGTTCAATCCTATGGGGGACACACTGGCCTCTTCTATGGGTGAGTAGAAACAACTACCTCAACCTAAGCCTGACCCTAGCCCTAGGTTTCAGTAGAAGCTAAATTCACCTTAGTCCTGTCCTATTCATCCCACGGTAGTAGGCAAAAAAGATATCTAGGGGACAGTGGTCTCTGGCCTAGGTCACCCATTTGGCTTTATGTTGGTCACGGCAATATCAGACTACTATCCAGTCTGCTAGTTCCCCATGACAGCCCCAAGCTCTGAGACCAATAACAAGGTATCAGCCAGACTTCTTGCTTCTTCTAGGTTATCATGTTCTCATTTGGAGCCAAGAGGAAGCTGAATCACACCAAGATCATGAAAGAGAATGAAGGTGTGGGACAGCACCACCTGTACCCCATGAATAGGAACAAGTTCTGTGGGAAGAGGCAACTACTTGTAAATAGACCAGAAGTGCCCACCCTTAGGGTTGTAGTTGGCATGGGCTACTGTGGGGTTAGGGCACTGGCACGTTACTGCTCTAGATTCTGCTCCAGAGATGGAAGAGTAAACCAGCTGCCCTCAGAGTCCCTGCTATGTCTAGTCTGGAACCCAGTTTATGCTAGAGCCAAGGTACTTTTCTTTTTTTCTGATGTATGGTAGAATAACCAGGGAATTTTTTAAAATTTGTATTCAGTCTTGATATGGCCAATAAAAGCATATTCTTTGATCCTTTGTATACCAACTAAGAAACCCAAAAGCCCAACTGAGTTTCTGGGTAGACCTAGTACTGACCTGATAAGTGTGCTCCTTGGGTGTCAGAAATGGGGAAGGAAAAAAGCACAGAACCAGCACTCACAGTCAAAACCTTCATTTCCTCAGAGCTACTTCAGCCCTATTTTGGGCCACAGTCAGGTGTCCAGTTAACCATCTGAAGAGCCCAGCCCAGATGAGGGAAAGTCACTTCATGATTCCGTGTGTTTCATGCCTGTCATCCAGGTACAATATAAATATTTTCAAACCTGCCTGAGGCAGCTGCTCAAGACAAAAGTTGACACTTACAGTAGCCTCAGCCAGAGGGAAACTTTGCTGTTGGGTGATCCAGTTTCTTGATAGCCATAGTTTATACTCCCATACTTTTGCGTCTAAAAAAAGTACCAAGGGACAATGTCCTCCACGCTATTTGCTAGAAGACAAAGAGCAAGGCTTGGTGGAAGAGCAAGGCAGATCGAGTACCGGGTTCTTCAGGTTTTTGTTTTTTGGTTTTTAATTCCAGGTCCTGAGTAAAACCTGAATGCTTGTCTGTATCCCAAGTCATTAGGAAGTATAGAAGAGGCAAATCCTGTTTGGAGAAGCCAGAATCCAACATAGTACATGGTAAACATCAGGCGTGTAGTCACAGGTGTCATATGGCCAGCCCAACCTCACTCATTCATTTGGGCTTAGGTAATCAGGGAGGCTAAACCCAGGATACCCTGTCCATGGGCTGGGATCAGCAATAGTCAGGAGCAAGGACTCAGCTGCCTCCCATAGGAGAGAGGGAAGAGGACTGAGAGGTTGTCAAGCATGGTCTTCCCTGTCTGCAACATGGTGATAGCCAGGAGGCTGGGCCTGCATCCGGAAGAGGACAGTGAGGAGCAACACTATTAGAAGGAAGAGGATGGAGCCACAGACAGCCAAGGCCACAATCACCTCTGGGCAGGGGAAAAGAAAGGTAACATTAGTATTCATCCAACAAATACAGAGCACTTACCCCATTCCAGGTACTATTTTGACAACACAAGGAATACAAAGGTGGTCAAGACAGTCTGTTCTCATGGAGTTTGTATTCTAGAGAAGAGATCCAGTAAACAAGCATTTAATGGCAATGACATACTAGTGATGCCATATGAGCAAGATAAGTTAGTCAGAAGTCACTGAGGAAATAGGACCAGACCTGTGGTCAAGAAGTAACCAGATGAGAGTAGAGTGTCATGTGGTGGGCGTAGGAGGACAAGCAAGTACAAAAGGCTCTGAGGATGCTGGAATAGCCTTGGTGTTCTGGATTCAACAAGAAAGTGTCACTGGGAAACAGGAGATGACCAGGCCCAGTAGAGGCTGGGTGGTCATGGTAGAGAATCTGTGCTTGGTGTATGATTAATACACATACACAGAGACACACACAATTTTTTTCTTTTTATTATTTATTATAATTTATTCAATTTGTATCCCAGCTGTGACCCCCTCTCTCATCTCCTCCCAGTCCCACCCTTCCTCTGTCTTCTCCTATGCCCCTCCCCTAGTCCCATGATAGGGGAGGTCCTTCTCCCCTTCTATCTGACCCTAGTAACACACACACACACACACACACACACACACACACACACACACACA